TTCATTCTACTCTGTAAATGAGCACTACCAGGAGCAACAGGTTTTACTGCACTGAGGACTGTTGCTCACTATAACCTATTTCCATTTAAAGGTTCCAAAGGATGATTAACCAGCTGCTTACCTCAGGAATCTATTCTAGTCATTCATTATCCTTATCTTAAGATCTAAACATTATGACACTATTATTTAGCTATTTTCTCCAGAAGAAAAAGCAGAAGTTGTGATAAACTTTCATTTTTATCCATTAAATACAATGAGCAAAGAAATCAATGGTTTTTATGGCCACACCCTCAGAAGTACAAATTCATCAGATGAAGAGGGCACAGCAGTCCACAGTCTCTTATTACTCCTTTACTTTTATAAACAACCTGTGGCTTCAAAAACACTCCATACAAAAGCTCAAGTGTAAAATATATTTCACTGAAAACAAAAATTAAAAGATACATTAAATCAGAAGGTTTTTAAGAGAAAAATAACCTGATTTGTCTTCATATAAGGCAGGGCAGAATAGAAACACATCCTAATGTTTACACAGGGAAATGAAGTGAGTTGTGTATGACCAAATATCAGAAAGTCAGTTCACATTTACATACTAATTTGTCAGTGTACTGATAAAGAAAATTACTCAGAGGACACATCAGTATTAAAAAAAAAAACACTGTCTAGTTTTGGTGAATACACCACTCTGAACAATATCTTCTCCTGAATGTATTGTTACAACACTGTATACTCCAAGTGCAAACTGAGCACACTAAACTCTGTATGTCTGGTTACTGTCCAACTTCCCATTTACACTAAATAAGAAAATGTACAACTACCACCTAAATACACCATCCTAAATTCAGCCACCTAACATTTTAATAGACTATAGATTGCTAAGGCATTAACTTTCTCCATGAATGGTAACAGATCCTCTTCTAAAAGATCACTCAGGATAAGGAGATGATAGCTTGGAACTTCATCTACAGGATTATTATTTAAAAACAAAAGGATCTTAGGGGGCTTTATTTCATGATAATTTAACTTGCCATGTATGCATTTATTTCTGCAAATTTTGATGAACAAAAACAATAGTTACAATACTGCTGCCATTTCAATGACTCTTTAAAGGCACTGACAATATCTGTTGCAAACTTGAGAGATTAAATCTAACACAAAGACAAGTTTAAATTAAAATTGCGATTTTAACTGCAATAGAAAGGCACATGAAACATTTATTCAACAAATCTGCTTCTTAAAGTTGCCTAGGCTGTAATTTGTCAGCTGGGATGTAGAATGGCATAGAAGAGCAATAGTCTAAAGGGAATTTTAAAAAAATAATTCATTCTCTCTTTTAGAATCCTCTTAATATCCTTGATTCAGTAGAACCTGTAAGCCTGTAATTAGCCCTGCATACTTCTGTATTAATCATTATCACAAGTCCTCCCAGCTATTTTTAGCACTGCTATGGACATCAATCTCTATTTATTACAAACATCAAAGAAAAATAAATCAGCACATTTACAACTCCAACTACAGAAGAATAGTATCTGATATTGCTCTGCACCAGACAGTTACATTCTTCAGAGAATAACTTTAAGGCAGTCGTGCAGTCACTGCTCCTGACATACCACATTAGATGAAAATTACCTGATACCATTCAGCAGCAAAAACTTGTAATATCTTTCATAAAAAAACTTCAATGCACATTTGAGCACCTGTAAATTCTGTCTGTAATTAAATCAAGCTACACATGTTTAAACTACAGCTGAAGTCCAATGAGACAAAGCAAAACAGAATATGCCTGTAAATTAACAATAAAACAGTGAGTTGGTCACAGGACTATCAGTGCAAATCTGCAACTGTGAGTGCCCTATGTCAAACAAAAATGAAAGCAATACTTGACCAAAGACAGTCTGATATTACAACTAAATTGATCCAGTGTTTGGCTGCCACTGGAAGCAACAGTCCCACTTTGCTTTCCCTTACTCCAGGTTCCCATCTTTTGCTATTCACCTAAACAGTGATGTGCTTCAGGAATCTCTATTAGCAATAAGTTTGGGCTTGGTTGTTCAGAGAGGATGGGTGGGGGACTAATTAGATATTTGTAGTGAAAGTATCTGTCTGTTACTCGAGAGGATGTGCCAAGGTAAGGAAAGCTCCAGAAATGGGGCTGCCTTCATTTAGCCAGCTGTACTGGCAACCTGCACTTCTAGCTCCCACCAGGCCCCCTCAAAGAACACAACTTTTGAATAGTTTTATGCTGTGCTTTTTACCTTTTGGACTCCGTTGTCTTGGATCCTTTATTCTCCAACCAACTGGTAATTGTCCTCTGTTTACAAACTGGAAAACCACAGTTCACTGTTATTACATGAAACATGATAAAACTGCAACATTATTGTATATGAAAAAGATGACTTGTACTGGATGAAGATAAAAACACCTCCAATTAAGCCCTCATTAGCATCTCTACTGTAGGGTGCATCCAGACACTAGCAGTATTAAAACTACATGTGATGCAATACTTAATTTGCATCAGTCAGCTGTAGGTTTTGTAATAATCTTTATAAATTCCAGGTATGGTGCGTGATGGGATTTGTTTCATCCAACTTTTTTTTTTTTAATATAGTTATAAGGTAAAAAATATACAGTAATGAGTAGAATTTAAAAAAAAATGGAACTTGAACTTTTTAGCTTTCATCATTATATTTAATCACCACCACAGTGAGCCCCAAAAGCTTCTTCTGGATTTTGGAATGAAGAGGCGACATGACATAGCTTAAAATCAAAAAAGAACAAGTAACAAGGCATCTTTGAGCACCCATCCAAGAACTTTATTAGTATGTAGCATACGGTGAAACATAAGGCTCAATAGAAGCATTGAACGTACTAGAAGTGACAAGCACTCAGTAAAGGACTTTTTCCATTTTCCTCCATCCATGAACAGTTTGAACAGCTTTTCAATGCTTACACCCCTAAACAGCAACAAAATGAAGGACACAATTTCTTCAGATTTACTACCAACAACACAGTCGCAGTCTTATCTGTGTGTTGCTGCAGCTCAGACAAGCTTTCAATAGAACAGCAACGTGCAAACTAATTATGGAGAGACCTGGGGGGAGAACAGGGAGAAAAATTCAAAGTAATTCTTTCAAAACTGGAAAGCAGTCTTTATCAGTATAAGGGGTGTTTAGTTTTGTTGTTGTTATTTAAAAGATATTCTGCAAATTTGGCAACTAGCTAACTAGCTTCAATCCCTCTTTCCATCTGCCAAGAGAAAGCATTTCCCTGCCACTGCTGACTGTGCAAGGTGTTTGCACTGCCTTCCACTGGGTAAGGAACAGCTGGAGTACCTTTTTGTAACAATAGTTTTGCAGAACTTCAAAACCAGTAAATCAGATCTTGTTTTTCTCATACTGAGTAGGGGAAGTCTCAGCAGTGTTCTGCAAAGGGAGGCTGTATAACTTGTAACAAACATCACTTAGGCCATAGGTAACTTAAGAGACATTGTTTCATAAACACGTTCCCTAACATTCAAGACTTTGAACACTTTCAAACAGCTGCTTATCAAATACCCTCATCAGAGGATACCCAAATGTTCAGAATGAGAAGTAATCTCCAGAAAATACTAAAATCATTTTCAGTTATTCTGTAATGGCACAAACAACAGTGCCAAACTGCCACCATGTGACTGGGTCACCAGGGAGCAGGACCAGGCTGGATGCAGGCTCCAAGCGCAAGGATATCTGTGCCATCATCAGCCATTCAAACACTCAGTTTCACCTCACTCAGACACAAATAACAGACTGACAGGTTTTGTGAACTAAAATATTTTTATTTCCAAAGATTCACTAAATTCAAATCTAGTAGTTCATTCTGATTAGCAAATCTCACCTTCTTCTAACGTTTAATCCAAATTGCCTACAGAAATACAGCCAGGGAAAAAACAAACCAAAAAAAAAAACCCACAAGAACCCGAAGAGACATGTTAAAACACGGACAAATAAACCTCTTCAAAGGCAGCTGACTACCTCTTGAGGTGTAAACTTGTGCTGAGGAATAAATACTTATTCATTAGCACAATAAACAGAAATGATGGCAGCAGCACCAGAATAGAACAAAAAGGGTTTAGTCTGAACTTCAACATCTGTGCAGCCATGTAAACCCTCCAACCAACACAACACACATCACTTTCATACTTCCAGCATGGCTTTCTGCTACAGATAAGGTGATGAAAACAAGAGGCAACAAAAAGACAACACATGCTTATTGTCAGCGTAAACAATAGAAGCAGACTTTGCTGCCATATTTTTGTAATGGCATGTTTATTTCTACTCAAGATTCCCCAAACCATTCCCATTAAACAAATAATCCCCTACAATCTACCTTTGATGAAAACACCCTAATTTTCAGAAGATTCTCGTTTACTCTGTAGGAGTGTACAACTCTAACTCCAAACTATCATCTACTCAAAGTTGTCTCTTAGTTAGAGGTTAGTGAGGTTTAACTCATCAGCTGCAGATGACAGCAAATCTTGTTTGGGTTCTTTTTCTCCTTTCATGCGTTCCTTTCTATTCCTGAAAGAGGTACATTAAAATCTTATTTTGACAGCGTTAGTTCCAAATGTAAAACAAAACTAAGGAAGCCACGCGGGAACTTGGTCTGCACAGCTTTGCCAGGCGGCAGGAGGAGCAGCCACGCCACCCCACGGGGCCAGCAGCGCTCCAGGCTGGCAGCCACGTGCTCCTGTGAACTCCTGTCATTACTCTCGGCTCTCGCTGTGTGACAGCCTGGCACAACCCCCGCTGAAAGCCTTTTTTCCCGCACTAAGTATTTGTCCCCTCTCTTGCGGAACAGGCTGCCTTTACCGGCTTACACCGCTCTTCGATGATTTGCACTATTAGTGGAAACTTGCAAAGAATCAGGCACAAAACCAGTATGAAGATCCTGCACGCCAAGCCGTCTCCAAGGGGAAGCAGCGCGCACTGACCACACCATCGGGCTGGGATACTGGGGACACGCTGGCACCGGGAAGCGAAGTTAAAGACAATTCCAGCCCGACAAGGGGGGGCAGCTCCGGGCAGGCTCTGTGCACAGGCACATGCAGCAGCCGCCGTTCAACGCTGCCCAGGCCGGCAGCAGCACGGCAGAGATGCCCTGGGTGGCACAGAGGGACACGGTGACTCGGAGCCTCCGGCCCGGTCGTCTCCTTCTCCTCCCGCCCAGCCCCGGGCGCGACCGCGGGCGGTCGGGCTGGCGGGGGGGCGCCGAGCAGCGCTCCCGGCTCGGGCCAGTTCAGCGCTGCCCCGGCTCTGCAGGCACCGCGGGCCCGTCCCCGCACCCGACAGCGAGCAGGCGGCCGAGGGAGGCGGGGGCGGCACGGACAGCAGCGAGCCCCGCTCCGCGTCCGGCCGCTCCCGCCGCCCCGGGGCCGGTACAAACCTTTATTCCCCACGGCGGTGGCGGAGCTGCTGCCCCCGAGCCGCTCCTGCCGCTCTCCCTGGGAGCCGCCGCCGGGGCTGCCGGGGCCGGGCCGGGCTCTCTTCTGCGGGGGTTCCCGCCCGCAGCCCGCGCTCATCCTCGGCGGGGCCGCCCTGCCCGCCGGGGCCGGCCAGCACCCGTCCCCCGGGGACGGCGCGACGCTGCCACAACGGCTCTGCCCGTCCGCATCCTCCGTCCCGCACGCCGGGCTCTTCCCAAGGCGCGAGGGGCGCGGCGGGGCCGGGAATGAGCGGCGTCCGGCCAGCGGGGCCCGGCGCTCGCAGCAAGATGGCGCCTGGCGCGCCTCACCCCGTCGCCATGGCGACCCGCAAAGCAGCCGGGCCGGGCGGCACTTTGCGGCGCTTTACGGCGGCGCTTTGCGGTAGCCGTTGGTGGTGGCGAGGGCGGCGGGCGCGGGGCCGCCATGGAGGGCGGCGGGAACTCCAAGGGCACCGGGCTCGGCGGCCTCTTCGGCGCCGGCGGGCTCGGGTACTCGCACGCCGACCTGGCCGGGGTGCCGCGTGAGTACGGGGGCGGTCGGCGGGGCCGGCCCAGGGGGGCAATGTCCGCGCACCGGCCGCTGCAAGGCTGGGCGGCCGGGACCGAGACCGGTGGCGGTGCCGATGTCGAGAGTCACGCGGCCCCGAGGGCTTCGCCGCCGCCCGGCCGCGGGAGGCCGATCCCGACCGCCGGCCCCTCCTGGGGGTGGGCGCGGAGGTGCCAGGCCTCGGCGGGGGCCGCGTGTCGCGACGGGCTCTGGTCACAGGAACATGGTGTTCACCTCATCTCAGCGGCTCCCGTTCGCTTCCTGGAAAGGGCGAGTTGCCGGCCGGTGCCGCCTTTTAAGGAGTTGGGCAACTTCGCGGCAGAATTCTCCCTTTTACCACACACGAGATCTGCCCCTTTTTGCCTTACATAATATGAATTGTTACTACGGAAGTTGGTGTTAAAGTGTTCTGTATTTTTTCCTTTTAGTGACTGGGATGAGCCCTTTGTCACCGTATTTAAACTTGGACCCCAAGTACCTAGTACAGGTGAGAAGCTGGCTTGTATTTATTGTGTTGAACTCGATTTTAGTGTTTGCATGATACTACGTGAACACCTCAAACCTCCTGCAGTGCTGGGCACTGTGCACTGAAGTCTTGAACTGAGGGACAGTGGAAAGAAACAATTTTTTCAGTGTTGTCCCTAATAAATCTTGACGTGCTGTGACTTCTAGAAAAAGGTGAGCATTGATAATGCAGAGGTAGGCTGTTGTGTCAGTACAAGCCTTCTGCTGTTGGAAAGAGATTTCCCTCCCTGCCTTGAGGCCAACACCACCTCACACAAGTTCTGGCACTGCTCACATCTCCACTGAGCCCCTTCAATCAGTAAGAGCAGCCAGAATCTCTCCCCTTTTTTCATGGATGAGTTTTCTGAACTGTCACAAGTTCGATCCGTTTACTGAGGTGTTCAGCCAAGCTCCAGACCTGATAACAGGCTTTGCCATCACAGCAGCTGCAAATTTCACATCACTGTCCTTGTGCCATTACCCAGCTGAAGGGAGACCATCATGAAGTACAGCTTCCCATTTTATTCTGTAGAATAATGTAGCAGTCACACTTGCACATCTTAACATCAGTTAATAAAAAATGAGGCCATCATAAGGAAAAAAATATTTTAAATCAAGTAATGTTTTCCTTTTTCATATTTTTTAACTATAGCTGAAAATGTTTAAGTTAATCCAATTAGGATGCATGTCAATGACTTTATTTAGTTAGTATTATTCTACATACGTGGCTCATATTGTCTGAGAACATAGGTCAACAGTTGCATGGTATCTGCTAACCTCTGTGCCTTGTTTCCTGGTACGCTGGGTCACTGTTTCTTTTGTAAGTGGAAGCTCTGCGTGCAGTTCTGGGGCCTAGGAGCCCTTGTAGTCCAGATTACAATGTAACAGTCCTAGAAGGATAGAAAACCGAGGCTATGCCTGTGGTGGAAGTGGGTTCAGTACTGTGGCTGCTGTTGTTGAGTAGTCAGAAAGAAGCTGAGATTATTTAGACTTTCTCCAAAAACACTCTCTAAAGTAGTTTTGTTTAATTAGTGCAGTTTGTCTGAGAACATGGTGGTGTTAAAAGCAGTATAGCAGGGATTTCGGAACATTGTGTGTATCTACTAATAGATTTTAGAAACAGAAGTTTGTTTTAAATGCAGAGGTGTTGGCATTAGTGTCATGATACAGTTCTAAAAATACCTGTTGATGTAACACTAGAGGCTGCAGTCTGTGTTATAACACTTCACTGCCCTGTATGTTTAGTACTAGTATGTTGAAGTGATAGTGAAGTGCATTGAAATAAAAGGGAATTCCTTTTTTTTTACCTGAACAAGTTGCCCATATAAGCTATGAGGTCTCTTTCCTTAGAGAATCACAAGACTTGGGAATGGCTCTGAGTGCCCAGCATTAATTGACCCTTCTTTTAACAATGGGGGTTGCACTAAACAGTCTCCACACGTTCCTAGGATTCTAAATACTCAAGGAAAAAGACATCGCTAATATTTTGGAATATAAGAGATTATTAGCCTTTACATTTGGAGTTTTCATGAAAGTGCACGTGGAAAGGTGAGGGTCTCCTGGTGTTTAAAGACCATCTGTTTGTTTTCAGAATGCAACGGGAAAGACAGCCTTACTGTTGCGAATCTTATATTTTCATTCAGGTCTTCCCATGATAACAAATGCTCCACTGATACTTGTTGCTTTAAACGCCACGTTTTTGGTTGGTCTGTGAATGCAGGCACGGAACAAGATGTTTTCTGCAATGCTGTTGCCTGCAGCAGGTAACAGGTGTTACAAATTTGCATGTCAACCTTTGGCAGAGGGCTAGAGGATGAGCTTTTGAGGTTGTCTCTAGAAACTAAGATGTTATGTTGGCAAGGATTGCTTCATCTTGACTTTTGGGACAGGAGTGAAAACATGTAAACACTGAATTTCTCCAACTGCCTGAGGAAGATAGAAACCATATTATAAGTTCATGTTATTGATTACACTTCACCATTTTAGGCGCTATTTTTTCGGTATTGCCATTCACATTCAGTGTCAAGTGTGGGCCAGTAAAGCCCTTTAGAATGCTTTTCCTTGAGCCTGCAGCTGTTGGAGTCATGTGTCAGGTAAGCAGGGATGGATAATACTATGACTGGAAAGCACAGAAGAAGCTTAAAAGAGATCTGCTGCTTTAGTACCTTATCAACAACAGGCATCTTCAATGTCTCGTCCTGAAGAAGTGCCTTGGCACACTTTATCATTACACATATGCCAGTTTCTCTAGGCCATTTCTCTAGCTTTTTAGATCACTGATTTGCAAGAGCACAAGCATGACCCTGTGGGAGAAAGATGGACAAGTAAAAAGTTAACCAACCTCACTCATAACCAACCTCATGCCTGATCATCTCTAGTTTTGAGTATATTCCTTGCATTTTTCACATCCTTAAAACAGATCACTTATTTCAGTGCAAGGAAATACCTCTTTTCATAAAAAGGCAGTTTTTATTTAGTGTCAGAGTGGGAAACTTAATGCATTATTGTATCAGACTGGGTTGCTCAGTGAGGAAGCAGTGCTATATAATCAGACAACAGGAATGTTTTTGGAAGGCTTATATTGTCTGCTGCAAGATGTAATTAATAATTAAGCAAATAGTCATTAAGAACAAAAACAACCACAACCCACATAACATGAATTCCTTGGCTGATGTATGTAATTTTTAAGAAGTTAGCACATCTAGAGAAAAAAAAAGCGCCCAGTCAATTGAACTTTTTACAGTCCTTTTTCATGCTTGATACAGTATACACATAATATAATCCATCTCTGTGCAACTGTACTGTAGTATTCCAGAAATACTCATCCATATTTAGTTTATTGCATGATTAAAAAAAAATTAATATGACTTACATTTTGAATTAGACTTGGAAAATACAAAAGTATTTATTTTTATTTTCCCCCAGGATACAGATGAGTTTATCTTGCCCACAGGAGCCAACAAAACTCGAGGCAGATTTGAGCTGGCCTTTTTCACCATTGGAGGATGTTGTATGACAGGTAGGTGGTTGTGGTTTTTACTTGTCCTGTCTGTCCAGGTAACACCTGTGTGCTGCAGTGATTGATGAGATTGTAAATGTCTTGTTCTGCAAGACATTGTCTGTTCTAGTCTTAAGATAAGAGATACGTGATCTTAGTTTATACAATGGATTCTGTTCTCAATATTTGCTTCTAGTATTGTTTATTCTTTTGCTTCTTAAGAAGTAATAACTGATATTATTCCAACTAGGGGCAGCATTTGGTGCATTGAATGGTTTGAGACTTGGCTTGAAGGAGACACAAAATATGGCATGGTCAAAACCTAGAAACGTACAGTAAGTGTTCCATCTAAAAAAAAAGTACTTCTTAGTGACAGAGTTGTTTCTTCCAATTTATACAAGATTAGATCTGAATACTGCAAAAATAAGTGTTTTGATGTTTTTTTTAAATTTAGTGGGGACGAATGAGAGTCAGCATTTGTCTTGATCGAGTTACTACATGTTTTTAGTTACAGTGATGTTCAGTTCAACCTTTTTGCTTTTTATTTAGTCACAATTGGTGTGTACTGTGACTTACCTTAAATATTTGAGAAATAATTACTACTTAGATGTTTACTAAGAATCTACTTCAAAGTCAAAGCAGTGTTTTTATATGTAGAAATATTCCCAGAAGCAGCAGTGTTTGCTTTGAGCTATTTTTTGCTGTAATTTATCTGAGCACAAGTCTCCCTTCTTTCCCAAGCTTTTCACAACCAGGAAAAGATTCAAATGCAGAGCTGGGCCTGCCTGGATTTGCATTAGGGATGACATTGGTGCGTGCTGCAGAGCAGACATTGCAGAGAGAGCTGTTATGGGTTATGGCATCCATGAGCACCCATGACATTGCCGTGTTTTGGCCTTACCTGATTGTTTGAAGGAACGCAGCAAAGACAGGAACATTTGTTTCAACAGGATGCCTCTTCTTAAAATAATGATAGCTTAGACATAGCTATAGGAAAACCTAAGTGAAAGAGACATTTGAAACCAGAGGAACAGAGTAAGCGAGGGAAAACATGGGAAATTTTCACTCCCAGAATACTTTGGAACAAGGGAATTTTAGAAGAGGAATTTAATATTTCCTGGTACAGTTTATATTGGGTCTGCTCCTTTTAAAATTGTTTCTATATTCAACCCCTTCTTTATCAAAATATTCACCACTGTAATTATGACTCTTTCATAATGCTCTAGATGAACAGAATTGTATTTTAGGGTTTGGAATGAGCAGAACTGGACAAAGCCTTGATGTTAAGCACGAACTTGGCAGGTCAAGCCCAGGAGGTGGCAGTCAGTGCACAGGCTGCTTTTATCCTGGCTCTGCAAGGCAAAGGTCTGCTGAAGGTCATCACCTTCCAACAGTGCATTAAGTTCTGTTTTTCCCTTATCAGGTGCAAAGAGCAGACTTTCGTAGCTAGATTTCCTCCCAATTTATCCTTAATGTACATAGATTTCTTTCTTAATGAATTTTAATTTTGCTGTTCTTCACTTGTCATCAGATACCTCACAGTATGCCATGGTTGTTAGAATTACTGATTCTCTTATCAGTTCAGGATGAATATAAAGTTAAAAGGTGGGGGTTGTAATTAAGGAGAGGTTATCAATACCCGAGCATCTTAGATTTTTTTTCCTCTTGTTTCAAAATGAAATTGTTTAGTTCATTGCCTAACCATATTCAGTAATGATCTGTGTCTGAATGAAAAAAGGAAAAACAATAGAAAATTAAATCAGAAGAAACATAAAGCAATGGAAGTGTTAGACATTAAATGCTGAGCCAAGTTCCAGTGGTAGTCAGCTGTCCAGAGCAATACTATGCCTGTGATAGTGTTACACTGCTGGGAGATAAAGATCAGTCATTTCTTCTGGCTGAAGTTGTCACCATTCTTGAAACAACTGGTGCCAGCAAGAAGTGGCATTGTGCTTCCCTGAGAGCGCACTAAAGGTTCTCTTCTCCTCTTTAGTGCTAGTCTGGAAGCCTACACAGACCATACACACAGCCACAGCTCTTGGCCGAGTGCTGAGTGGATGGATGGGGTTGTAAGGGACTGTCTCTTTCCTTTCTGACCTGCTGCAAGTCCGGACTTGCTTTATTGCCCACACCATTTGCTCAGGCATTCCCACACTCCCTGACACATGGTCCTTGTAGAGGAGCACTGAGGCTTCCTTGGAGACTTTTTACTCAGCTAAGTCTGCATAAGTGTATCCGTTATTCCAGGAGCTGTGTGTAGTCACCACATAAGGAAGGACAGCCTGGGTTAGAAAGCCATTTGAAGGGAAGAGATTTGAGTTTTGGGGAGGGTCAAGTTTGCCTTGAAAAGAGAGAAAGGTTTTCTTAAGATTTGACAGGACTGAATATTTGCTTTCAGAAGCTTTTAGTTCATCATTGCGGTTTTATTAACCACATATATAGTGTAAACACACAAGCCCTGCTGTCCTAAACACTGACTTGATGTAAACACAGAGTACTAAAGATTCTCATATCTCTTTAAATCCTTTCTAGAATTCTAAATATGGTGACAAGGCAAGGAGCGTTATGGGCTAACACTCTGGGATCACTGGGTAAGTAAAGTCATTCCTTCAGAGGGAAAGCAATTTAAAGATGTAATTATTGTATTTGTGTATTATCTGAATAAGAGTATTCTCTAAATTATCATTATTAAATCCATCATGAAAAAGTGCAAGTTTTTTTCTTTGGGGGCTTGAGGGTATTTCAGTGGACATGAAAAAGGAAATTAAAGGCTAAAATAGGATTTGCAGCATAAGGAGCCAAAAGCCTGTAATTAAACCCAAATTTTTTACTATATTATAAACAAACTAGCTATATCAGAAATAACTAGAAATTACAGGTAATGTTTACTTGTTAATAAATTCCAGTTAAATTACAACTTAAGGCAAAAAGTATAATTTAGTATTTCTGAAATAACTATAATAACCTACACTGAGATTCTGTGGTCATGTGATCAACTGCCCAATGTTTGTTTCCTGTTAGAGTCAACAAAATGTTTATGTGAAGAAGAAATGTGATAGTCAATACAAAGATGTATCCTTTAAATGATGGTACATTAGCTGGAAAAATCACACATGATACCACTGACTTGAAACCTAAATGTTGCTTATAACTAATATGGGTTAGAAAAAAAGAGAAAAGAAAATGATCAATAGCCTGATGTATGAGAAAAAACTTCTATGAACTGAGGTTTGGGTGGGAGGGGGCTGTGAAATAAAATCACATCCATTACCTCAGAACAAGATTATTTCATAAAAATGAATGAGATAACTAATGCCCTAGAAATAATAAATTTTTTTACTTCCCCCCCAGTCTTTCACAATCTTACAAAATGAAAACTGATGCAGTAGCTTTAAAAGGAGAAATCCAAAATTGATTAAATTATTTTGAAGAAAAATAATGATGAAACTTGTCCTACAAAGTTGTAGTAGAAGTTAGTAATATTTAAATCAGAGACTATATCATGTTATACATTTTTTTGAGAAATGCATCAAGGCATAGGCTAAGTTCTATCTATGTCATTTTATTTCAGTCTGAGTTTTGAGGAGCAGATTAGCTGCCATTTAATTTAGGCAATAGCTTTCAAGGCCAAGTATAGAGGGCATGGTTAGAGGTAGGATTCTGAGCTACAGCAAGAAAGGCATTTTTTCTATAAGAAATGCATATTGCCTGCTAAGTTTTATTGGGCCATTTTTTGTCTGGATTTTTTTTTTTTTTGTTCCAAGTCTAACAAAAACATGTCTGAGAACTGAGATGCAGGCACACTGCAGTTCAAGGTTTCAGTTTAAGTGACACATTAACAGGTTTTTTCAGCTGTGTTTGAAGAAAGATTACTCAAGAAAATGTTTGTGCATTCCAGTAACAAATTGTTATTTTTCTTACAAAATATGGCCTCCAAAGTCACAGAGTTAAGCAGAACTTTATGTTTGGGATTCTGATAGACCTCTGTCTTGTCCTAGCTACCAGAGAAATTCCTTTCAAGGAGCTGAATCTTACTTTGCATCTTACTTCACCTTGTGCAGCTTTTCTGTACCTCAGAGATTGCTTTTGTCACTAGTGACAATTTTTGTCATTCTGTTCCTGAACAGAGGCAACATCTGTATGGAACTGTTTAAAAAAATTATGATGAATTCAGCTTTTCCTTTCCTCATTGTTAATCTATTTGCTGCTAAGACAAGCTAAAATACCCTTGCCTATGCTGAATGGAGAATGATGCTGCTGTTAACTCATTGACATTATTATGGTTGCTTATGAAGGATTTACTGCCTTTTAGCAGAAGGAAAGATTTCAAATTCTTGGAGGGCAAGGATCAAATTAAATGGCATTGTCTTTATCACTTCAGAATTATGACATACCCTACTATTCTTTGCCAGCATAAAATATGAGTATATCGTGAGAACAGGGGGTGTTTTCTTTCATCAAAATGCATAAATGATAAATGCATCCATGCTAAAACCCCCATGCATTTCTCTTTCCAGTCCTTTCCAAGACAGCCCCTAAAGTTATCCCAAAGCAAAAGGCCCTCTGGGAATAAAGATTTCGTGCACAAGCAGAGGTGAAACAGCTGTAAATTTCAAATCCCAGGCATTTTAATAGTCATTTTAAAAAGAAACATAGCCCACTGTACTCCAGCTCTTAGTAGCATGATCTGAATATTGTACTTAACTCACATTTCATCACTGTCACACACAGCAGTTTTCTCTACCTAGAAAGTGCTTGCTTTAGTTTCATGTCATCCACAGCAGACAGTATGGAACTGCCAGTAAAAATTTAAACCCTGAATTTTCAAGCAAATTTGAACTAGCAAAATAGGCTTAAACTTGAGTCAGTGCTTTATAGCACATATTATTATGAAGAATGCTACTTTTTAACAAATTATAGCTCCAGAAAGAATAAATAGCTATACAGAAAGAGATCTGGAAAAGAAACACCTAAGATGGGATTTTGCAGAGGATTCCCTTTGAATAAGCAGAAAATCTGTTCTTCAGAAGCATAGTCTTAAATAATACACCAAGCCTGGATTCTAAGCTTTGGGCCTCAGACCATGGAAGGTTTTTTAATCTTGTTTTATTTTTTCCCCAGCTCTACTTTACAGTGCATTTGGAGTCATCATTGAAAAAACACGAGGTGCAGAAGATGACCTGAACACCATAGCTGCTGGAACCTTGACAGGAATGCTGTACAAAAGCACTGGTAGAGTAGCAAAATATTTCTCCTTTTCCTTCTCTTGTGCTTATCCTAGTTATTAGGATTCTCATTACTTTTACTAAATACTATCCTGCTCTGAAAATTGACAGTAGAAAAATGGCTTTTAGTTCCATTTTCCCTAACCCACAGTGTTTTTCACCCAACTAAGGCTACTTAAGGAAAACTTGCACTAAAAAAATCTAGCTGAATTAAATTTAATTCTTTGCAACTGCACAGGACTGACAGTAACCATGAAAGCCCAGCTATGACTGTTTTACATATATACTGAAGAAACAGTAATTTATTTCCTCAGATATATGGTGAAGTTGTATAAAATACATACCCACCTCATTGCTAGCCATATTTTCAGCAAGAGCAGGAATAAAACTAATTGTTTCTTAACTCCATGAGTGGATGCAGGCAAATGAGAACTACCTTCCAAAGTGAATAGGGACAAGGAAGGAAAACACAGAACATAGAATTTGATTGCATGAAGATGAAACTTTCCTACAAGTGATCCATGTGATAGTAAATCACGTGATAGTGGTACCTGGAGCTGCAAAAACCCTACTTACAGAGAATTTATGGAAGTATTACTTAGGTGTTCATGAAAATGTTGTCTTGTGGTAGGATTCTTGTCTTTGCCTAGTAGTCAAAACCAACAAACAAGGTTATTTGAGAAAAGCATGAATTTAAGGTGATTTGGCTGATGCAAACTGAATTGTTTGCAGGAGAGAGGGTCTGAGCTTCATCAGCAGAGTGGCTGTCAGCACATGTTCCAAGCTTAACAATTGGAGGTATTTTAGAGGATTGCTGGCTACCACAGATTGACATTAGCCCATGGAAAATGTTTTATGTTTTAAATAACTCAGTAAATGTTTGGCTGCATGACACACCTTCATTTTATGGAGGAGATAATGCAAGAATTAACCTTTGTACTTTTGCATATCTAACTGAGCCTCAGTCTCTTAACAGTGTTCCTGAAGGCCTCCTTTATGTATGGGGCAAAACAGTTTGAGTAACTATTTCCTGATGGCTTAGACTACCTGATGCCAAAAATAATTGGCTGGAGCAGCCAATGAGACTTAACTTTGCAAAAGCATGTCGCTCTCCTGTAATCCATTTCTTCCTTGGGATTTCATGAGTGATATGACAGATTACCAAGAAGAGCTGGAAAGGGTAGCATATAGAAGCCTAATATTTTCTGTAGGAGTTTGTTAATAAGGAGAGCTGTCATCTAATACTCCAGCAGAAGCATCCCCCTTACCTTTCAGAAGTATAAAGCTGGCATTATGTGTAATCTTTTTTTGGCATGGTGCAACCATGGATAGCTACTCCAGTCACATGCACAGTCATCTGACAGTACTAAGGTTTTGATTTCCAGAACACAGTGGGACATTTGTTTTGTAACACAAGATCTACAGAGCTAATGGCAGCCCTGATAAAGGCAAATGAAGTCAGTAAATCTCTGTTCATTATGGTACTGTATTTCAAGTGTGTGTTGTGCATATGAACCATAGTGCAGAGAAACTGCTGCCTCTCCTGTTACCTTATGCCAGAACACCCTTTCTTATTCTGTTTGGTAAACCTTACAGGTTTTTACAGTGCATTTAGACTGTATCAGTGTGTATATTTACCTTAAAACCTTGAATATTTAGACCATGCAAGAGATCAGCACACATCTGACATATCCAGACTATAATAATTACTTGTATTGCATGGAATGCCATGATATATTGGCATTAAGACAAGGAAAATGTTAAAAGCTGTCAAGGACAGTTAGAAATCTCCATATTTTAGTGTCAGCTGGAAGCTCACACAAACATGCCATTGCAAATCAAGGCTGCTCTGTAATCCACAAGGGGTGGATAGAGTTGCAGGCAGTGCTGTTCAAACACTCAGATTTCCCACTTCCATCATTCCTGCTTTGTAAAGAGATCAGGAGCATAATTAAGAAGAAATGGAATAATGTATGGCAGGTCTTTTATTATAATTTCGTGTTTAACCACATGTGGAATGACATCAGCAGTCCTGCTGCACTGAAAAATACTCCTGTGGACACTGCAAAGCACAGATTGAATTTCTGAAACCAATCATTAAGCATCTGGTGAGTGGACAGGAAAAAAAAAAATAGCGGGAAGACTTTGTGAAGGCTGAGATTTGTTGCCCCAAACTGGACCCAGTTTTCACAATTTGTCCTTGTAGAAGTGTTAATCATTACCAAAATGGCAGCAGTCAAACAGAACGTGCACGTTCTAGTCATTGATTGTAGGCAGTTGTGTAAAGCTACTTGATACAGCTTGTGGGAGAAAATAAGAGAAGATTGAAAACTCTGCAAGTGAGGACAGTGGCAATTGGGCCCTTAGTTCAGTGGCAGTGCCATCACTCACTGAAACTTCCCACTGAAGTGACTGAAGCAGTTCAATGCCCATTAAAAGCAGGTGGTAGCTGGGCTCCATCTCGGCAGTACTGCATGCCTTAGGAAAAAGACACCTGTTGAGTGGAAAACTGATGTGAGGAGTTTTGAAACAACTGCTTAATTCTTCTGACCAAAGTGATCTCCAGCTTTCACATTTATTTAAAGTCACAATTACTGACTAGATTTTTAGCCCAAATGCAGCAGTAAGAGTAATTTGTTACACTGGTCTTACAACTTCATGGGAGCAATTTGTTGAACTCACCACTGAACTTCTACCCAGAACATTCAGTTTGAGTAACAGTTAGAAGAAAAGCTTTCGAGTTCCTCTGCCAGGGGCATATGCAATAGAAATGTTACAGCAACTAAGTCAATTCGGGTTTTGCTAAAAAGGGGTCTGATATCGTCCTAAGTCCACAAGGATGGCTTTACCATTTAATAAAATGCTATTCTTTATTCTTCAATTTTAAGCAAAGGCAGCAATTAGTATCTGTTATGCCGTGTTTTTTCTGATAAATGTTACAAAGGGCAAACACCTTAAAACAAATCTTTAGCCTCCTTGCATGTTTTCAACCTCTTTTCTAGAATTGTATTAGTCATGAAAATAACCAAAAAAAAAACCCAAACGAAAATGATTGTCACTGTGCACTATATTGCTGTTATACCCTCCCACCATGAAAGTGCATGTTCTGGTTGTCACCAAGGCACAGCTGGCTGAGGATCCTACATTCCTCTTCAAGCATGCAGGATTGATCACTCAAGAAAAGATACTGAGCTAGGTGGGACTTTGGCCTGACCCAGTGTAGCAGCAATTACTTTCTCACTGGAATTCCTGACAGATTTCAGTAAACGAAAAAGCTAACCAACCTTTACCTCTTATCTGAGGGTTACACAGCTTGTGGATATTCTTTTTCTTGGGTAATTTTTTTTCCTCTCTCGAGGTTATGGGTAACAGCAATAAAAGTAAAAAAATTCTTTGGACAAACTAAATTCCTTTGTTTACTTTTTTGCAGTAGGAGCCCAATCCTAGCTACAGCATCTCATGCCTTTGGAGCAATACATGTTACATAATTTGGTACAGAAAATGGTGTGTGTCTGAAAAGATTGCATAAAAATAGCTATTGCATTCTAGCAATAGCTGAAAGTAGTAGTTGTCATTTTAAGACCTCAGAACACAACCTGGAAAAGTCAGTATGTTATGAATTAGGAAGGGCTGAATGTTTTATTGCCAGCAGTAAAATCTGGCTGGAGCTAAAGATCAGTTTTGTGACATCCAATGAGTAGTTCAGGGCAGTTAGGTTAGCTGACAACTTCTTAAGCTGTAAAAAGCCTGTTCTCTGAGCCCAACCCATGATTTTCTTTAGGCCAGACAGGGCTGTTTTCTTGTTTCTCTTGGCTGGGGAGGGGGAAGGAAGAGCTTTTGGGGGACTGCCAGAGGTACAGGTCTGGGATATCTTACTTTTCTACAGTATTTTGAAAAAAGTAAAGAACTTGCTTGTCATCACTTAAGTTTAAGGCTGTCAGGCATTTTGGAAATTTAAGAACCCCTTTTAACATAAAAAGTCTATAGAATTATCGATCAAATTATGCTTAGAGGTTTTTTTTTAAATCTGAAGTAAGGAAGAGGTAAGGACAATGTACACGCAGCATTACAGGTAACAGCTTGTTGAGGCTTTCTTAGTCTCACAAGGACTGTGTATGAGTACATGTGTCCACTGAGAACAGTGCTGCCTTCAGTGCTGCCCAGCTCTGCTAATCAGGAGCAGTGAACTCAGAGCTGCAGGGATTTGCAGGTGCCATTTACAGTAGCTGAACTAGGCTCCTGTCAGGTGCTGCTGCTTTCACTTAGTGAGAAGACAGCAAATTTTAATCGTGTTTACAAAGCAACTTCAACAGCTCTAGTACTTCCAAACCAGTAAATTGTATATTCCTACTGTTTTTCTAATTTAGTCTTCATACCACAGTAACTATAGGAAATGTTCCCTCTTTTAAGCTTTGTTGTTTCTGTATTCTAAGCACAGCACTGCCTTAGCTGCAGCAATATGAAAATGGAAGATGCTTTTCTGGAATGTATCTTGCTCCCAAATAGAACTTTATCAGTTTCCTCAGTAACTTCTTATTCACAGATTTTGTCCACTACTTACAAGATTTCATGAAATGAACCCCATGGAGCAGCAAGAGAAAACTTGATATTTGCTAATGACATCAGGCACACAGATGTTCAAACAAATGACTGCTTGATGTTCCAATGGTTACTGAGCTTGAGTTTGGAGCAAAACAGATTTTTTGTACAATTGAGTTGAGGCCTTTAAACCATTTAAAAGCATTTTTGTTCCTGAAGACCTGGAAGGAAGATAAATGTTTTCATTCAGAGTATCAGAGAGAGATTGGAAGACAGAAAACTAATCGCAATTTAAAGATTATTCTTCTTTTGTTTGGCATAAGTATGTGGGTCTGAGTTTTTGGTGCAGGTATTTGTAATGTTTGCTGTTGGGTGGTTCTTGCTTTAAACATTCCAGGTACTGTCCCAGAACATTGGAGTAACATTCTGAAAATAGAGACAGTAAGTTCCTAAAGGGAAGATTTTGTCCTCATGGTTTTACCTACTGGCCAAGTGCAGCTCAGTGTTGAGTGGCTCCTGCCATGCTGAAGTGCAGAGCTGTGCTGTTGGAATGCTGTGTGCCATGGCACAGTGTAAGCTGGAACCTATGGAAATTAATAGAGGACGGACAATATTGGTGGTGAAAGGGTACAGCAGCTGAAGCCAGAGAACTCATTTCCCATTTAGAAAGCATCAGATCTATCTTTGGAAACCCACAGCAGTTCTCAACTCTTGTGCAAGGTGCCTGATCTCAAAATACCTATTTCCAGAAATGTCTGTCAGCTGGAACCTTTATCTTACTGCAACATGCAAGATTAGGGGCTCACAGCCATGTTTCAACAGGGCTTGTCAGGGCAGACTTGGTATCAAGTCTTGCACAGAATGATTGCAGAGGAGGGGTGGGAACATGTTCTATCATGCAAACACAGCTGGGATGGGAGTGGAAAATTTATTTTTTGTTTTTGTTAACAAGTTAATTTTCTAAGAGGCCCTAAGATTTTCTGCCCAGCAACGGGGCTGCATTCTAACGTGCATTACTGTTTGAAGTCTGTCACAGACCTGGACATATTTACTCAAACACAAATCTGACCAGTTAGGGAAAGTTTTCCTTCCCTTTTATTTTTGTAATTACTGTGGGTAGTTCAGAAACCAGGAGCAACTGCTACAAAAAAAATAAATAAAAACACCCCAACATTTTGTAGCAGAAGCATAATATAGAAACACTTCTTGCATATTTTTTCTCTCAGTCATGCACCTATACCAACTGCACAAGTTCAGTACCCTTCTGATGAACTCCAGCAATGTCCCTAAGTTGTCTGCAGGCCTACAAATGGCTTTAGGTCCTGTGGTTAACTTTTGCCACTGGGTTCAGAGCTGCCATCCTTACCTGGCTGACTCAGCAATGAGAACACCAATACTTGATGCAGTGGGAGCAGCACATCTAATGTCCTCATACGTGGATGCTATAGAAGACAGCTCAGTGATCCGAATTACAGATGACACCTTTCTTGTACAACCCTGACTTCACAGAATATGGAGTCAGGCTTCATCATCCTTCAACTACCTGTTCTTGCATAAGAATAGGATTTTAAGGGGAAAGGAGAGGAACTGAACGTGGGGGGGTGAAGAAAGCCTACTGGAATAGTCATAGTTTTGTAGTGCATTGCATTTTGTGGGGATGTTCCACATTTCCTTGTACACCTGATAGTCATGATCTGCCTTTTGGGGGTTCCTGCTGTGATCTCTTGAATCCTGATATGAACAGCAGAAAATTTGGCTCTAATGCTGTATTCATTTACCCCTGTAGGATTGAGGGGTCAGTATTTTTACAGTATTTTAGTATCTCAAATACTTGTTTTGCACAAAGTGTCCTTTAAATTTCACCTGTGGCTTTTTGCCAGACACTGCTTGCACATGGTTAGTTTTGTGTACTCAGCTGCAAGCCCTTCATATGAAAAGTTTTTTGTGCAACAAATTCAGGATCAATTAGCAAACACACATCTACATTTGCTTTCCTAAATGCTGATTTAGGCACATAGATTGTATTCAGTAGGGCTTTTCTTAGAGCTGTTGAATTCTCAACAGAACTCAGCCTTATACCCTAAAAACCTCTCAAATTGTCATAGCTGGTCTGGCAATGAAGTTTCTAGAAACTATGGCTAGACATGGCTTCTCATACCACATCCCACTTCTGCAGCTTCTTGGTCTCATTGCATGCCTGGGCAGTACAGGGAGGTTTAACAACTCCAGTGAAACCCATCTAACCTTGCAGCACAGGTAACACAGTCTCAGTCAGCTGATGCCAACAGCTTCTTGCCTCACTAAAGGCAATTCTGTGAAACAACTTTATGACCCATAATGGAAAGAAAAAAAACCACAATCTCTGATTACTGAGATATATTTTGTTTTCAGGTTTGAGGAACCTGAACTGCACTGCCGGTTTCTCCAATAAAGCAAGCAGGGTTTTTATCTTGCTGTCAGAAACTGGCCTTGTTCTATACACTGTACACATTATCTAGCTTGGTTCAACTGCAATGATAAACATTGCAGAATCAAACTCCCCAAAGTTTTCCTAGCATTAAGGGTCATACTCCCAGGTGTTCTGTGCACTTATAGTGCATTCTGGGAGCTCTGCCAAGGCACAGAAGTGTTCTGCTGTTTAGTAAAAGCAACAGAAATCTCTTCTTGTTCCCCTGTACAGCCCAGTCCTCATGTGGATGGAATGGAGGTGGGATGCCACCTGAATTCCAGCTCCAGCCAGGTGCATTACCTGCAGGCAATAGCCAAGCTTGCCCTACATTTCTGCTCATTTCACCATAAGACTTAATCACCTGTGTGACTCAGTTCTTACCATTGCAAGGTGATAATTCTAATTATTAGTAAAAGAATGAAGAAAGCGGTTCAATGTACACCATAGTAAATACCTACCAGTTAATACATTTCATCTACCTCCTTTTTTTTAATTGAAAAGTTTTAAAATTTCAAAGACACAAAAGCAGTCATAGGTTTTGCATGATGGCCCTAATGAATCTCTGGAGCCCAATGCCATGTCCACATCAGCTGCTGTTTTGTTCACTTATTTATCTCCTGCCCTTTCTCCTTCTGTCCAGAGTTAGTTATCATAATTGAAAATTGAAGGAGATTTTATAATGGGAGAAGAGCATGTCTAACTGTAAAAACAAATGTAATCAGGACAGATAGAATAGATTAAGTAGGAGTTGGGAAAAGCCATCTTGGCTTCCAGTGCTCCAGAGAGGTTCCCTGAAGCAGTAGTGCTAGTACAGTTTGAGAGGAAGTCATTCCAACAGAATTGGTGTTAGGATCAGGAATGAGTGACCACGAGCCTGGCAGCAGGTTTGAGAGGAAGGTAGAAAAAGCACAGGGACTCTTTCTAGAGAGTTACTCAAGAAACTACTGTTCATTAAGATGTCTCTGGATTTAAACATCTTCTTGGAAGTAGCACTAATGAGCTGCAATGTGTTTTGTTTTCTGCAGGTGGAGTGCGCGGGATAGCTCGAGGTGGGATCGCAGGTCTGACGCTGACCGGCCTCTACGCCCTGTACAACAACTGGGAGCACATGAAGGGCTCCCTAGCCCGGCAGTCCCTGTGAGCAGGGCAGAGGACACGCTTGCTTAGTCACCTATCAAATCAGTTGTGAGATCTATCTGGTGCCCCTTGCTATTTTATTTACAGTTAGTGTGGAACTGATGGAAGCTGTGCTGGGAGGAACCTCTTGACACAGTGTAGCTGGACTGGCCCTTCCCACCAGCCAGTTGCTGGAGAGGCAACAATATTTGTTGGACCTGCAAGTGAAGAGAGCGGCCACCGGGACAGAGTCTCCCTGCCATGTTCCCCAAGCAGCCCTGGCCAGAGCTGCCAGGAATGCTGGGCCCCCATAGCTGCTCTCACTCGCTGCCAGGTTTGTTTGGTGCCTGTAGGGTCTGTGTCCATGGAGCATTCCCTGCAGTCCCAGCAGCCATAGCACAGGCAGGGCTTGCTATTCTGACAGCACAAGGCAAGCTAGCAAAAGGGACATCATCAGAATAAAAAGGGTGGTACTTACTCAATACCATTTCTATCCTTTGCTCTTCCTGCTACAAAAGTGTGCTGTATCCAGCGACCTACTTAGGGATTAATTTTAAAGGACCAGTGTGATGAAATCCTGGGGGAGTTGGCGGGTGAGGGGAAGTGGACAAGCAGACTGATCGTCTCCTGATGGGTGGTTATGCTAAGGCATAGCAGGGCTTGACTTCAGTCCCTTATTTGCTCTAACAAATAAGGACCTGGTTTTTTATGGATGAAAGGCAGTTGCTATTGCAGAACAGCTGCCAGTGGATTATCAAAACACTTGGGTGCTCCAATATCTCAGAACTCATTTAGCCAACAATTAGAAACCAAACAGTACAAAGACTCTACTCATTACCTATTACAGGACTTTTAATTAGCAAGAAACTTTTTGCCTGAAGTACCATTCATAGATTTTTGGCAGAATGAAGACTGTGATAAACCTACGCATTCTCCAGTGTTAAACCGTGTATCAAGCACCTTGCAGATAAATTAAACAGTAAGTTGATAATTAGTTCAGTAATTAGAGTTGCTGTATAACAACTCCTTCCACATTTAAATAATTAAACAGGTGAATTATTAAAGAGGTCTGAAGACAGGGAAGGCAGAGCAAAGGAAAAGCAAGAAACTTACTAGTCACCAGACAACTTAATGCAAACCAAGTTTACATTTGAGTTTTTGCTACTGAAACAGCTCTTAATAATTACGTTGCATGCACCAAAATAAAAACAATAAAAAGCAGTAAAGGGAAGGTGGTAGGTCTTCCCTTCCCCCAAGAGGAAACACCACTTTGCTACGAGGCCTCATTGGTAGCAAATAACCACTGAGACCAGCTTTTTATAGAGCAAGTGCTCTAGCTAATGAGCCCTCACAAGTGAACTCAATTAGCTTTGCTTGCATACCAGGTCAAATTAGATGCTTTATGCCAGCACTTAAGAGTACCATAAAGGAAGCAGGCCTTTTCTCACCCCCTGTGTCAATACTGGTTTTTGTTAAGCCTTATGTTCTACAATTCCATAGTGCTCTGCATGTTACTGTTGTGGTGTGAGAGCTGGACTTCCTTCCTAGCATGCATTTTTTGAGGGCTGTACCACCAAAGAACCTGTCCCCCACTTGCAGGCTGCATAGGGGCGATGAGAACTTCATCTGCACAGCACTGTCACATGGGATATCAGGAGAACACTTGCACTTTCTTCTGAGTTTTTTTTCTCCCCACTGGCATCAGTGAGTTCCTCCCCTGCATGTTTCCTGATCACCATTGGTTGGACTTCTGTTTCTGCACTCTTGACCACGCTGGATGAAGGATTGAGAACTGCTTTGGGGGTTGATGGAGGGCAAGGTTGGCTTTTTAAATGTCAGGAACTCTGCAATGTATCTTAGGTTTTCTAAAGACTTTTTCAGGACTAAAATGTCACCCAGGAACTGTCTGCCCTAATTGAAGTGGGTAAACTGTGAAGCTTAACAAATGTATTTCCTTCTTCAGGTGCACTAGAGATAATATAGAAACAAGCCTTTTCAGGTTCATAGTTAGCACAGCCTTAAGGCTAGGCTGACTCTTGAACAACTTAGCATGTTATCTGGTCTTCAGTGCACTCAGATTTCCTGGAACTGCTCGCTTCAAGGGCAGAGCTGGGAGCATTTTTCTGAAATTGCTGTGTTACAGCTGATAAAAGTTTTGGTTCATAATCTTTGTATATTGAGTAATCTGTAGCTTGAGCCATAGCTCACACACACAACCAGCACAGAGGCAGCAGTGAGGGAGGTGAATTGTATGATACAATACAGAGAATGTGTTTGCAATATTCTGTCATGACATACTACATTCCTGGTTTACTGGCAATCAGTTCAAAGTTGCTACTTTAAATTGTGACCAAAAATATATCCAAATTCAGTAGGAATTAAAAGGATGTAAAATCAAGTTGAAAACAAGATCTGGCTCAAGGTAAAGCCCTCTCATGCAGCATTACATAAATGTGAGCATGGGAGACCTTGACTGTCTTTTGGAAGAGCAGGGTTTTGGTGCCAGTTGTGGTATCTTTGCTGACAGATCCAAGGCAGCTTTCCATGCTGTGGTACCAAGTGAGGGAGCTGAGACAGCAGATATAATGGAAGGGTTTTGAGGCTTATGAAGCTGCTTCTGCTTAGTCTTTGGAACAGAAAGCAAATCCACTTATCATTCCCTGTCAGCAGGTGACTTCTCTTACAGTTGGAGGAATTTGTTGAAAAATCACTACTTAGGGTGGAAATCTCTGGGCACCCAGTAGCTTCTGAAAACAGGAGGCAAAATGTATGTTAGGGCAGAAAAACAATCCCGTGTTCATAGTCTGTTTCCTGTGATCTAATCTGAGACTTCAAAAGGAGGGGGAAATCCCTTTGTATGCTTTAACAGAAGATTACCCCTGTGCTTAATAAATTCTAGATAGGAAACTGGTATGCTTTAAGTGGAGCTTTGTGCACTTTGTGAGTATTGGTCTGTGCTGTTCAACGCCAGCCAGTGCAGGGACACCAGAGGGTACCCCAACCGTTTCTGGTACTTTCCCAGCATGATTAATACCTGCTATGTTCCTCACAGGTATTTCCCCCTGTCTCCCTGCCCTGTGGGAAGAACAGCTGCCCCACTCACTCACAGCTGCTCTGAGGACAAGGAGTTGAAGGGGCTGGTGCCTCAGGAGCCTGTGGTCACCCTGCTTCAGGGAGGTGTGGGAGGGAAGGAAGCATTCCTCACTACAGGGCATCAATCTCAGCTCAGCTTGTTCAAAGAAAGTTCTCCAGCCATTTGAGAACCCATAAATAGCATTCTCTTCTGCTACTCTGTCGTCCTTGTCTTGGGATAATTTGGAAGTATTTTTCCCCTGTCTTTGAAAGCTAAACATTCAGGATACACATTCAGGAGTTCTGCATGTGACTCCTTCTAACAAAGAACTTCAACTCCACTTTAAAAAAAAGTGTGTGCAAACCCCCACATAAAAGGTATCATGGTTGAAAGGGTGCCAGGCCCAGCTGTGAATGTTCTGCTAATGAACAATGCAGGTTGCAGTTTCAATACTGGAAAATACTCGGTGGAGGAACCAATCATGCAGGGAGTCTGATTCTCAAACCCAAGGGAGACAGAGGAACTCGCTCTAAGTGTGCAGCCGGACCACAGATGTTCTTCAGCCATGGGAGAAGAGGACCAAATGCTACTAAAATCCATGAATCCTCACTAAGTATTCAAGAGTGGGAAGAAGCAAATGGGTCATTTTGTCCAAGTCTATTTCTTCCAACAGCTGAGCAAAGCCCAGGTGACTGAGACACACCAGCTGTATGTCCAGGGAGTCACAAGGCACTATCTTACAGGAGTTTCCCAGTACGTGTGTAGGAGTGTGCCAGCTCCCAGAGTTTCCCTGCTCTGCAGCTCAGTACAGCTCCAGGCAGTGGTGAAATGAACTAAAGCATGTGAATCCCATCTGGATTCTGTAGAAGCACAACTCCAGCAGCTTCCAGACAAGCAAACTGGAGATGTGCCAGAGCAGTTTTTGTTGACCATCTTGTAAATGAGACATAACACACACTTTGGTTGCAATTATTTTTTAATGGAAAAGACTAATCAATGTCTTACATAAATATCCATTAGTGACAACAAGTCAGTTAAGTAAAGGAATACATACCCCAAGTTTTAAAGGCTCATAATGAATGACGAAGTAGCACACAATGACGACTACATAGAATTAATTGGAAGAGGTGGTCTGCACGTCAACCTCCTTCATTAAGTTCAACTGGTAATCACATCAGGTTGTTACTGGAGTTAGTCACAGTGCAGTCTTCCCATGCAGCAACAAGGACACGTGAAGGGGAAAGTGAACTCCTAAAACACCTCTCTGCCTCCAGCAGAAAGCCCTGGCTATGAAAGTACAAAAGCCTCAAGTGTTTTGCTGATGTTAAGCCCTTTCAGGGTCTGGTTTCAGATGTGCAGTCTCCCCTTCTCAGACTGAAAAACTTACTTTTAAATGAATGCACAGGATTGATCAGACAGGAATGTGTTCACACTGCAAAATGACACCAAGGTCAGATCTTAATAATAATTTCTTTTCTACAGGGTTGTGAAGAACTCAAATCACTTTTATTCCCAGGCAGGCTGCAGGGATTGGGAGAAGGGGGCCCTATTTTCATAGTCATTAAGAGCAATTTGTTAAGTGAGTAGAAGCTGCACCAGAAACTATGGAAATTCACAGTTTTTCCATGGAGCCTGACAGGCATGATCCATGTTTCCACAGAATGTCTTTGCACTCGTTCCTACAGGCTCAAAAGACGAAATATCTGAAGAGGTATTGCTCACATTATGGCCACAGCTTCGGGAAGATCCGAGTTACTGGACCCCACTTTCACATACATTATCACATGGAAACCACAGATTAAATACCTTTCAACTGCAGCAGTGGGAGCCACAGTTTGCCAAGTTAGTGTTTCCCAATTAGCATGACATCAATCTGCTGAAGGCATCTAATTCCCCAAATATTACCTTTAAATATTATGTGGCTAAGATGCCTGCTTTCCAGTGGTTTAGTCGATAAAAATTCATTATGAATTATCTAGAACTAACAGAAACACGTTTCCTTTTACAGCTTTTTCAGTGACATTCAAATAGTTTGCAAATGCTGGGGACATAGTAGGGTCTGATCCACTGGTGCATGAAAATTAAACACCCTACCCTGTTCTCTGAAAGGCTCAAAATTCACAAGAAGAGTTTTGATTTAGAAGTACGTTACCAATTCTCTTGTTACGTGTTAGGTCCCATAAATCCATGTATTTTTCAATGCCTGGATTTCACATATTTAGCTGGGAAATCCACCAACACAAGATGCAAATGAAACCTCCAAAGTGAGCAACTGCTCCATAAAACAAATTGCTTGCAAGTACAGCCTAAGTAAGCTGGAACCCAATGCATGACAAAATTGTAGCAGCTGAAAGGAACAGCAGCACTTCTGAAGTTACTGTCAAAGGTGGTTTATTGTTCCTACTTCACAGCACCAGGGAGATTCTGCTTTATACCTGCACTGGCTTCAACATACTTCAAGTGACAACCCATTAAAGATCCTTGTATTCCAGTAACAGATACAAATTAGCTAACACCTCTAAAGCATCGGATTGCTTATGGTCAGTGGGTTTACATTTCAGAATTAATGACAATGGAAAGGGATCTTCTGCACCATAACTCTGTTAGATAAGGAATCTTTTTGTTATAATTTTGGAAGAGAAAGCAGACGGCCAAACACAAAACACAAGCACTCAGCTGGCTGCAGTCACTCAGTGTGAGGTGCGACTGATAGCAGGAAGGGGATGATTTCGACACTTCCAGTTCTTCACATCTAAACAAATTTAAAATAGGGTTATTCTCTTAGATAAACAGCAGCACTTTGGAAAAAACAACAACTATAAGATACCCTTGGAAAAAAGTGATATTAACATTCCTCCTAGAACTGAGTATCCTGCCTTTTAGGGTTTGAAGTACTCCTGCTGAGGACCATTTTCATTAATTTCAACAAAAACGACAAAGAGGTATCATCAGAAAGGAAAAACATGATGTCAGCTGTAAATACATTACTAAGGTAAGAAAGAAGCTGCCTGGAGATTGACACGTACATTCCATATCTTAGCTGCAATGAGTTACCACGTGTCAATCAACTGAGAGATTTACACAAGAACAGAAGTAATTCCCTGCCTGGCCTGTAATCAAAAGAGGAGGAATGATAACAAAGGAGAATGGTCCAAGCTGTTAAAAAGGTCTATGGGGAGGAAAGTACTAGGTTTAAAGAAGTGAAGATGACCATTAGCTGTCGGTGTCCATCCCCTGTTATCTCCAAGTAATGTATTAGAACAGCTGAGCCTAATCAATCTGTGTCCTACCTGTAAAGGAGACCGGTACAGCCATTTCTCGTTATCTCCACTGAGTTTCATACAGGCAAAAAGGTCGCAAACTGTAGGAAGGCCAAAGTCCTGAAAGAGAAGTCACCTTAATTACCAACCCCAAACATAAATACATTCTGATGTATCTTCAAATTCTGTAAAGTGTTCAAAATCAAACCAGATTTTTGAGTCTTTGAGATCAATGCTTTCTTCATTTATTATATTAACTTGTTTAGTGCTAAGTAACTAACAATTGTAAAAACATTAAGACCCAAGAAACCTGAAAACTTGCAGTCACTATTATCCAGAAGAGCTACAACTTTGGAAGAAAATGAAGTCATTAAATTCAGTAAAGCAATAAACCTGTCACATAAGACACAAAAGTATCAAAAACTTATGCTCACTTGTGCTTTCTTGCGCAGAAGCCATTTATCTTCCACTGGAGGTGGGTTTGCATTTTCTAGGTCATTTGAAGCCAACACCCAACTGTTTACATTTAAGGGGAGGTGGAATGGAGCCAAGAGGTCTAGAAAAGGACTCTTGAAATTCTTGTCTGCTTTTTCCCGACACTCCTTTTCTTCTGTGCTTTCTGCTTTGTGCTCAGCCTTGGCCAGCCAGCTTGTCAGAGGCCTCTCGAGCAATGCTTTCCAGGGTTCTGCAATCTCTGCTGAATAATCTGCTTTCTCTGCACTCACACGTTCCCCTGGGAGCTGCTGTGCAGGGCTAAGCCAGGAACTGGCAGCAAACTTGGTCTTATCATGCTCAGGGTCTGGTACATCTCTCTGGCTGACCGGAACTCCGTTTTTGTCCTTCCCATCTTTCTTCAAAAGCCATTTGCAAAGAGCCTCTTTTCCACAGTTTTCATCACACACACATTCTGAAAAGCTGGCACACAGATCATTAGCTTTGCACACATCTTCCACTTTAAAGGGGGCCTGAGGATGCTGAAGAAGCCAAGCATTTACAGCAGATGTAGCAGGTGATTTCTTTCCATCAAGATGCTCATTCAGGCACTTCAGATTTCCCAGGTTCTCAATTTCCACACTTCTGCTCTGGCTGCCACGACAACTGGTACATGTTTCAGCTTTGAGGAGCCAATCATTCAAATTGCATTCTTCCCTAAAAGGTTTAAAGTCATTCTTCCATTTCTCATCTGAAGCAATACTTCCATTTTCTGTGTCAGGAGTAAGCAGCCAGTCAGAAAGGTCCATCTCTTCTTGTCCAAGGGATTCTAATTCCTCCATCTTTTCAATAGTGGAAAAGGATGAGCTGAGAGTAGAGGTGGAGTCCTTGCGACCAGGGGAATCTGTCTTCCCAGCAACATCACGCTGCTGATTGTGCAGGAGCCAGTTCTCCAAATCCTTCAGATTTCCCCAGGCTTGCTCAAAATAGCAGACTTTGGAAGAATTCAAATCCTAGTAAAGACACATTGAGTACATCTATTAAAACTAAAAGGCAATGTTTCCACAGTTAGAGCTTAGAGCATTCAGCTAGTAAGTGCCAAAGCATCAGTTGAACATGAGGCAGAATGAAGAGTACTACAG